AAAATATGATTTTGTGTATGTGAAAGACTACTAAATTTTGTGAATATAAATATTATATTGAAAGTTAGAAGTATTAAATCTATAAAGACTAATCGAGTACAAAGAGGTCACATGGTTGGTTAGATTGACTTAGCCCTTGTTGAGAGAGAGATAATTCTAGCTTGAAGTAGCACTATAAGACATTTTGAAGTACTACTAAAAACATTCAGTTATAAAAATATTTGTTAAAACTGTTAAAAGGTTATTACATCCTATCTCTTTTAGGGTTATTTTGAAGCCAATGATATTCACAACAATAGGATTGCTGGGTTTGAAGTTAAAGCTGGGGCCAATCCAACAGTTGTGCGATGTGAGATACACCATGGGCAGACAGGTGGTATTTATGTTCATGAAAATGGAAGGGGTCAGTTTATTGAAAATAAAATACATTTTAACAATTTTGCTGGAGTCTGGATCACTTCCCATAGCAATCCAACTATTAGGTAAGGTGTAGTTAAGTATATTTGATGTACCTTATGTATTTTCCCACATACCAGTACAAGACAATATGATGCAAAGACAAAAAGTAATTGCTGGTGACAGAAGTTGAATGGTATGTTTAAAACCTCAAAATGCAAACTAAACAAAGTTCATGACACACTTCAAGGTGATTCTTTTTTTTTATAAACTACAACATAATTTTAGGAGTATATTTAACTATTTTCTTATTCACTATAAGCTCCACTAAATATTTTTTGCAGACGTAATGAAATTTATAATGGACTTCAAGGAGGAGTCTACATATTTGGTGAAGGAAGAGGCCTTATAGAACATAATAATATTCATGGTAAGTTATGTTGATCTTTGACTGCCGCTTTCCAAAAGATTCTTTAACCCTAGAGCCTTTGATTTGGCTCACCTTTTTTGGAAACACATTTTACAAAATTATTTATGTACCAAATTGCTTGTAGGTCCATGACTTTGCTAGTATGATGTGCTAATAATATTTGAGTTGCACAAAGAAAGTATAAAAAAGTATAATTAGTATTGCAATTAATTGTGCTAATTACTGCTTGGGTTTTCTTGTGTATTTTATATATATATGATTATGTAACTTGCAATTGTAACAAGAAAATACTTAAGATTATTCCATATGATTCAGCATGTGAACCTCATTGTTAGTGAATTGTATAAAAAACAAGTTGATAGTGTAAGGGCTGAAAAAAGTAAATTTGGGAAAATAAAGAAAGTAAGTGCAAACAACATAAAATTCTACTGTATTCTTCTTTTCTTAATTTGTTTATATAAAGAGTAAACTACTTTGCCTAATCTTATAAGTTGTTGTGCTCTTTCTGATAAATGTACTTTACTCTTTTCCAATTCAAAGGCTTGTAAAGATTATCATGAATTTGTTATAAAGTGTTATATTTTTTTTAGGTAATGCACTTGCTGGTATCCAAATTCGTACCAACAGTGATCCAATTGTTAGGTACAACAAGATTCATCATGGTCAACATGGTGGAATCTATGTGGTAAGACTCTGATAGCAGAATATTAGTCATACTGTAATCATGATAAGAAACTTTACCTAACCTATTTATTTTAAAGTTATTGGGTTAAGTGCTGTTTACTATAGTTTTGTGTATGATTCTGATTAGTCATTTTTTTTTAAATGCTGTAACTTGTTTTTTGTTATTGTCAGCCTGCATAAATATCTGTGTACATTATTAGTGTTTGAAGTTCTCCAAATGTTTTTACAACAAGATGTTTTATACAGCATGAAAAAGGTCAAGGATTGATTGAAGAAAATGAGGTTTATGCTAACACATTAGCAGGAGTATGGATCACTACAGGAAGTACCCCAGTTCTGCGTCGTAACCGTATACACAGTGGTAAACAGGTAGTATAAATATGAAAATTCAAAATTCTCTTTTGATGACCAGTGATAAATTATTCTATTTTCAGTTCCTGTAATAATTGCAGTGTTGGTTCTGTTATACACTAGTTAATATTGTTCAATAAAATTCATGATGTGAATTCCTCTAAATTTTGGTTTTTATTGGACACCTGATGATGATGTGTTATATATAGTTATTCCTAAGATGATGAATTATTATTTATGAAAGAATTCTTTTTTGTTTTAAGGTGGGAGTATACTTTTATGACAATGGACATGGTCGTCTTGAAGATAATGATATTTATAACCACCTATATTCAGGAGTTCAGATCAGGTAATTGGAACTGCTTCCTTTTGAATTTTTTTTCAATCATTTATATTTAGTGTAGAATAGAAATTAAGAAGTGTATTTGTGAACTTGAACTTATAAAGTAGCCTCACTGGTACAATGTTTGTTCTATGCAAGATAAAGATATCCTCTATTTCATAATGTTTTGGAATCAACAATTAATGTTATATTAAGTTAGCTCTGGTGTTATATGTAAAATACTAGTAAAACACTGGTGGAAATTCAGGATTTTTTTATATTGCCTTGTAGAATTAAGAACTTAAAACTTGTATACTATTAAAATATGGATTGTTAGCTAAGATTTTATACTGTTCTAATTGATATAACATAAACAAGAAGTAGTTTAATAAAATTTTGAATGTAAAACACTAAAACCTTGTGTCATGTACAGTAAAGGATACCTAAGGCAATAGGATTAAATAAAAAGTTAGTGCATTACTACTATTATTATAAAAAAAATAGGGTTAAGTGTCATTGAGAGTTGACAGACAAAAAAAAAAAGAATACTTGGGTAAGTACTTTATTTCTTGTTTTTCATGGTTATTCTTTAATTATTATAGAAGTTACTAAAATGTAAAAACAGTGATCTCTATAGGTTAGGTTAGGTAAAATAAATAATAGTATAATAAAAATATTTCATGAGGCATGCACATGAGCAGCTCGTAGGTTATGTAATTTGATAGCATAATGTGTGCTCCACAAGTGATTTACAACTTATTATGGTGTAATTAGTAGTTATACATGGTTCATAGGGCAATAATACAATAAAATTTAAATATATATGGATGTATATTGTAACAAGTTTAAAAACTACTTAGGATAAATTAAGGTAGTTTCATGTTACAATTTGAGTCATTCTAGAAAGAAAAAGGGGTAATTTAGATTTATTTTGATTTTGTTTTTGGTGGTTACGAGGTTGGTCAATTTGTATGGAGTTAGCATAGAGAAAATAACAAATAAAATATAAAGTTTTACTGAAAACAGACATTTGAATTATTTAGGAGGTTTTAGAGATTACACAAATGAAATTTTAGATTTTTGAGATGAAGAAAAGTACTTTTAATGTTAACACGAAAACCACTTTGCACACGGACTATTCAAAACAAATACTCGATATATTCACAGACAAATCTTTTTTTATGTTTATTTGAAATACTTCACTAAAAGTATGACTTTTTTGTATGTGAAAGACTTATAATGTTTACTGAAAGACCACCAAATTTTTTGAAGATATATACATACTATATTAAAAGTTAGTAGTATCATATCTATAAAAACTTTAAATGAGTACAAAGAGATCACATCGTTGGTCAAATCAACCGAGCCTGTGTTGAGAGAGTTAAGTATCTCGTAATCAGAATTCTTTAACAAAATTCTTACATCAAATTGTACTTAAAAGTTTCTAGTTAAAATTGTGTGAGGATTCATAATTACATTATGTTCCAAATCAAGCTTCCCCATTATGCATTTTTGGGTTCTATCTATGTTTTCAAATTCGATGACGAGGAACCCACTTTGAGACTAATAATGGCTGGAGACGGCTTGAATGGGTAATGAAGAAAAACTTTAATATAAGTTTAACATAACAGCAAATGTACAACGTTTCGACAAGGTTTTGTCATCATCTATCTATCTGTGTTTACCATTACTGTTTTGTTTATCATGATGGCTTCTTTCAGAACTGGAAGTAACCCTATTATAAGAAGAAACAAAATCTGGGGAGGACAAAATGGAGGAGTTTTGGTGTATAATGGTGGTTTAGGAATCCTCGAACAGAATGAAATTTTTGACAATGCCATGGCCGGTGTATGGATCAAAACAGATAGTAATCCTACTCTTCGAAAAAATAAAATTTATGATGGTCGAGATGGTGGTGTGTGTATATTTAATGGAGGAAAAGGTAAGCACATAAACTGCATACTAATTTGAGAGAATCACATATAACTAGAATTAAAGATTCAAATCCCATGGCAGACACAGCACAGGTAACCCATTATGCTGTTTTGCACTAACACAAACAAAAAAATTTCAGTAGTTGGAATTAATTGCAGCTTGTTGGTGAAATTTAATTACCTGAAAGTAAATAAGCAATAAAATTTACATTTTTATATGTAAACATCAGATTATTTATAGTAATCCCACTAAATTGTTTCAGTAGTTTAAATGTTAGTTTTTAATATTATTTAGAAAGTTTGTTCTTAGTCCTGTTGTCAATTATAATAATATTCTTATAGGAAAGTTTTTAGCAGCAACTAACCATTCATAGTGATTATATTGGACACTATTGGAAAATAGTATACACCTGGAAAAAAGTTAAGCACCCCCAAATATTTTTCAGGATTGCTTATTGAAAATAAGGTTTAATTTTCATGATGTTGAGCAATGTTCATAATTTTAAACATAATTAAAAGGATGTGAGCATTCAGGTGTGACATTTAAATCAGGCGCGTTTTTTTCCCCACTTGCAACTTGCTCCCTTCTTCACGTCCAATATGCACTATTTTCTCGTGCATCAAATCCGTATTTAAGT